TCTTAACTTTTTAGCAGGGTTCATTCTAATTTCAGCTTTTTGTAATCTTTCATTATTTAATGATTTGCATCCTGCAATCATATGAAAGCCTGGTTCCATGTCCAGTTGCTTCAAAATATCAATAGATGCTTTTGCTCCAATGTTAAAGTTGGCAACAGCATCATATACACCAATTTCTAATTGGGTAAGTGATACAAATGTTTGCTTTGGTATACGCTTCCAAATCATTCCATTAAAAGATTCATTGGCATTTTGTGTCTTACCATGCAAACATTTTTGTAACTCAAGGTCTTTACTTAAATCCTCAAATATAGGTCTTACTTTCATAATGACATCCATTGGTAAACCCGGTCCTGGCTTATAGGTTGATGTCTTATTTATTTTATCGGCATTGTATTTGCACCAGCTGTCTGCACCAGTGGGGCAGTGTGGAAAATGTAAGCTATTATTTTTTGAGGAAGCAACATGAAATAGTGATGCCAACACCCCAGCTCTCATTTCCTTAAGTTTACCCACATTTTGCCTGATAGCAACTCCAACAAAGTTTTGCAAACGATCAATTGTTGCATCTGTAAGGCGGCCTCTACCACCGAGGTGTTTTTCTTTTTTTTTTAAATTTCGGAGGCGCGTTCCAACTCTTTTTTGATAATGACCAACACATTCCAGCTTTTCAATTTCTATATCAGGGTATACATTTTTAACACTATAGTAACTTTTAGTATCACCATCACCTAAATATTGAATGTATCGTAACTGGCGATTGTTAATCGAACGTTGAAAGACACGTTTTGCTCCTTCTGCCTCCATACCCCCAGCCGAACCTTGGTAATTATACTTGCAAATATGGGAATTTTTCCATTGTGCATAAGAAGTTGGATCAGATTTTTGGAGGCTTTGAGTTAAATTACAACCTTTACAATATCTGGACATGATTTCAACATCTAAAACTTTGCCACTAGCAGTAGAGATGGCAGAAAAGACTCCGTTCAGTGATGAGTATCCTCGTTTTTGCCATGTTCCATTGCAAGATACACAAATATCGGTTACTTTCAAAGCTGTATTTTGCAATTTATTAGCAGCATTTATCATTGTTCGTTCTGCTACAGTTTTTACAGCTTTTGAAATTACTTTTATCAGTTTTTCAAAATTATTTTTGGTCATTGGCTTAGGTAGATTCATAATGGTACAAAATTTTTTGATGCCTGCATATCCATGACCTAATAATCGCATACAATAAATTATTCGTTTATTGATATCAAATCCTTTTTTATTGTCATAGTAAGAAGTGTAGAACTTTTGAAAATAGTTACAACCTCTTTTCATACACTTAAGATATAGTAAGGATGATAAACCACGTTGTTGAGTATTTCTCTCACTTAGTGAGATTGTTGAACAACCACACTCTGGACACAGAACAGGACTTAAAATAGACATTAAAACAGCAACATCAATTATACGATAACCAGATATGGCAGGTTTTGAAAGAATTGTATCTTCTAAGTTTTCGATTTTATGAGCTGAAGCTGACACTTTAAGTGGATTTTCAAAAATTGGTTCAGTAACACCAGTGATGTTAGGGGCACTTGGATTTATTGTTGGCAATTCGATATTAGTACTATCAGATACAATAACAGTATTAACAGAATTTTGAACATTTCCCATAAACTTTTTCCTTTTTTTATGAGTTTGTGTACATCTCTTAACTCGACAAGCTTTTCCCATTTTTACTAATTAAACTAACCTAATAAAATCTCAAGAACTGACTGAACTGAATAATATTGTCGTACTTGATGTACCAAGGTATTGAAAAACGCATCAAGAAGTTCTTCAAGCTTAGGCATTGCAAGTGTAACACTATTTTGGATGAAATTAAGGTAAAAGTACGATGTATAAAACTGTTTAAGTGCGTTGCTATGGCGTTGCTAAGACAAACAATTAAGAAGTGGTTAACTTAAATAGACAATTTAAGATAGTTAAAGAATAATCTGATACATCCAAAACAAATTTTATGATTCTGCATAGTTTAAAATAGTTAAAACTAAAAAAAAAAAAATATTAAAATTTTGAAATTTTATGGGGGTATAGCCCCTTAATTAGCTATTCATATGTTTATAATAACAGTAACACTATATAAATCTTAAGCATTCTTAAATATTTATACATTCGATATATATGTATATGTATATACAGTATATACATATACATATATATCGAATGTATAAATGTTTAAGAATGCTTAAGATTCATATAGCGTTACTTTTATTATAAACATATCAATAGCCTATTAACATATTTAAAAACAAACACATTTGGAAAACATCAAGTTGGAATACTTTTTTCGTAATTCGTTTAAGTTGTTGTTCCAAGGGAGTTAAAATATTATGGGGAGTTAATTGTTTCGCCAACAGGGGTTAATTTATTTCAAGGGGAGTAAATCTATTTTGAAATAGGTTAATTTTTTACGCTACGTGAGTTAATTTATTATGGGGGTTAATTTATTTCATGACACCAGCTGTGAAATTAGCTAATAAACTTTTATTTTCAAAAGATTCAAATTAGTTTTTACAAAGAAGATTTGAAGTTACTTTACAAAAAAATGAAAGAACTTATCAAAAAAACTAACGAAAGCACTCCTATGTTTGATTTAAGAAGAAGATCATACCAAGGGATTGTCCATAAAGTACGTACGGTCGGAGGAAAAGCGGGGATCTGCTAATGGCGTATATGACATGGGAGGACATTGTGTCAATTATAAAAGATAGAAGACACTAAATAAAAAAATATCATAAAATGTTACATAAATAGGTTAAAAGCGTAGGTACTTTTAAGGAGGTGGAGAGTACTCAAAAAAGGGCATTTCAAAATGCGGGGGGGGGGGATGGAGGGTGGACAAAAAAAAAGCGTACGTACTTTATGGACGACCTGCAACTTGCATAAAAAAAAAAAAAATGAAATCCATTTTTAAAAGATAGATTGACAAGATTTGACTGGTTTTAATGAATAGACATTCTGATTTTTTATTACGTAAACCAGAAATTACATCAGCAGTTCGAGCTTTATAGTTTAATTAGCTTAGCGATTATAAATATTTGCTATTTTTACTAGAACAGAGCGTAAAAACTTACTGCTTCACCAATGTTAAACGTTTAAGTCCGTAAAAAACTTTGTTCTAAATTCTGTAAAAGAAATTTTTATTTCTTAGTTATCTAAAAAAGAATAATTTTTTTAACTCATCTTTTATCAGAAATATGCTGAAAAGTGTCAAAGAAATATGCTTAAAAGTGTCATAGCTGATATATGTAAAAACGCTGGTATGCGTTTTACGGCTCTGATATCTATTATCACCCATGCCTTTTAACTAAGCCAAAACTAATAAATTGTGGACCTCATTGACCATGAGCTAATGTGGTCTGAAATCTAGTAAAGACCATATAGATTATGGGTATACGGGTCTATCTAAAAAATGAATATAGAACGCAATTTTTTTTTTTTAAATAGCCCAGCAGGCATTTGTTTTTAAAAGTTACGTTCTAAATGTACTTTAAATGTCTTTTAAATTTCTTCTAAACATATACAACAGTATAGAACGTTTAAAAGACGTTTAAAAAACGTTTTAAAGATAAAAACCCTTTAGTGTTTTTAAGAACATATAAGACTAATAATACTTTAATTTCATTTGATAACCCACATCATGTCATCCATAATATATTAAAAAGTAATTCTAAATAAAACTTTAAATCTATTTCTTTGTTTTCACATAAAAGATTTTTTATATTTTTAAAATTTTAATATAAAGTAGATTTCACGGCTACAGTAAGAGTATTTATAATTTTGCTCCAATTCTTTACGCATGCACCTAGTTTCACCAAGTTCACCTATGTTATCATTAAACAAAACATAGTATTTATCGACAATCAGGCTAAAAACATAAAATTATATATCAAAAACTTACACTAACTCTTTTACTTCAATACCCATTTTCCCCTTCCCCCTTCCCCTCCCGCATTTAACAAAAAACTGAGGTACTAAATTTGATATGCTTACATTATTTGCAGTCATCGCGTTTGTGTTAGATTAAGTTTGATTATTTTCTAAGTTGCTGATTCATGAATTTAAAGTTTTTAACTTTTTTTTATAGAAACTTGACTATTTAATTAGATATAAATAAAGAATAAACAAATTTAGAAAAAAAAATTTACGCATTTTTTTGCTAAATTTTTCCCCAAAGGATTTTAGTCTTTAAGATTAAATTTATGTTGTACATTGAATAAAAAAGATATTTTTATTTAAATTTTTTTTTTTTTTAGTTTCACATTTATTAGTCGTAGTTAATAGTTTTACATTTATTAGTCGTAGTACATAAATATAATTTAAAGTTAGTGACAGACTGATATGTTTTAATTTTTTTTCTTTTTTTTGTCATTAAATTTTTTGAAACTTGAAAAGTTTATCAACATTTTGAAAAAATTTTATCATTTTTAATTTTTTACATTTTTTTGTAAAAATAAACCCAGTAGACACACAACGTTGAAATAACGTGCCAGCAGGGGAAAAAAGTTTAGTTTTTTAGGATATTGTTCAAAATAATAACAATTAACTTTACCAAACATTGCCAAATTTTTGTAAAAAACTTAAAAGGACAAACTTTGACATGAGGGTCGGGGAAAAAAGAAAAAAAAGAAAGAAAGATTAGAAAGTTTTCATGTAATGCTGTATACAATAATTAATTGAACCTTTTTTCGTTATTACATTAAGTTTAATTTGTTTTTGTTGTTATAAAAAGTTTAATTACTTTAATTATACATATTAGTATCAGCGTTAAGGTACGCAAGGTCCCCCTTTCGTCTGAAAAAAGTTTTAAGTGCTCTAATTTTTTAGTAAAGTTATTTAGAATCAAATGTTTTTTTTTTTTTTAAGTAATTATAAACCTTATGTTATAATTGCATTCTTAAACTTTCGTTTTATTTAAAAGACTTTTTAAAAAAAACCTATAACCTCACAGTTCCGTGCGAGAGCTTTTTTCCTGTAACTACTTCATACTTTGGTGGTTCATCGGCAATAAAATCAAGACTGGAATATGACGGAAGTTCATTGTGATTTAAGTTGTTGTTTGATAAATTCTCAATTTTGGGCACAAATTTATCATTATTTGACTTCTCTTTTGTATCGTTGACAACATGCACAGTTATTTGCCCATTATCTAGGTCGATTTCCAAAGCATCATTTATAAAAGAAAAATCTCTTTCACGCATAGCACACATAAAATCATATATTCAGAAACGCCTGTTCAAAGTCATACGCCATTAGCAATTGTTACGCTTGATTAAAAAAAAAAATTGAAGTTTTATGCTGTATTTGTGTCAAACAAATTTTAATTATCAAGCTATTGTGAAACAAGGAATTTACAAACAGACAAAAGCGGCTATTATATTATTAAAGTTATTATTTTCTTTGTGTTTTGGTCACTTGCAACCAACATGACGTAAGCGCGATATTCGGAATAAAGGTAATTTTTTTGTTTGTTTTTTTGTTTAAAAAAAATAATAAAAGTAAAACTATATTATAATACATTAATGTAACTCTCAATTTTTTTTTTCCATTTTTAGAAAAGATATTTTTTTTGCATTTATAATCCAAATTGTGAACTAATTTTTTTAAAAACAGTTAAAAATAAGTAAACTAAAAATGTTGAAAATGTTAATCCTATATTTAATATTTTCAAAACATGCAACTCATGCATATAATTTAAACTAATGAATAGATGCGGAAATGATGAATAAGTTTTGGAATCTCCCATTTTTTATAATATTAGTTTTGAGTTATTAGTTATGTTTCTAAAGCTCAGTCAACAATGAATGATGAACAATGATTTTAAAAGACAAACTCATTATTTTATTATTCAATCAGTAGTTTTATCAAAAAATTTAAAATGATTATTTCAATACAATATATTTTATAAGCACCTGAAACACAGTGGTTAGAGGATTGAATTTTTTATGGGCTTGAACGTCACACTAAGCACACTTAGATTGTTGGTTAGATTAGAATTGTGAAACTAACTTATAAAATGCTAATACCCAAATGGCGGTACTCTGTGATAAGACCATTAGATTTAATACAAGATGAAGTCACGTGTTTCATTTTAAAAAACGTGTAGATAAAGACGTCTTGATAAGAACATTTTGATAAAAACGTGTCAATACAAACGTTTAGACTACTAGTGTTTTTCGTGCACTCTTAGTGTATGCAAAAAAAATCCTGAGCAGAAAATGGAAACAGTAAAAAAATGGACATTTTTTTAAGTAACCAATTTAAAACAACCTCCCAGTAGGCACAGGACGTAGAAAAAGACTTTTAAACGTCATATGAACGTTTGAACGTCTTCTGAACGTTTTGGACGTCTTTTGAGCGTTCAAAAGACGTCTATTTTAGGTCCGGTGTCAACTGGGCTGTGGAATGCTTAACGCTAATCAAAAAGACTAAAACACTTTGTCCCCTCCCAGTTTCGTCTGGAGGACGTCCGTTAGACAGTCTCACGGACGTCTAACTTCTGTATGACGTCTAATGGATGTCCCCTGGACAACGCATACCCACTGGATTTGACGTTTGTTAAAGACCTTTATAAATGTTTATACGTAAATCATTCTCTAATATTTTAAGAAAAGCGGTCCCTCGAAAATGAAAAAGTAAGTTCCTCGAAAATGAAAAAATAAGTTCCTTTAAAATGAAACAAAAAATTTCTCTAAAATGAAACAAAAAATCCTTCTAAAATGAAACAATAAGCGCATTACAATTTGGTCTAATTTTCTTCTTGTTGTAACGAGAAAAAATCCGGTCTCATTGTAACGAAAAAAAATTCGGTCTCATTGTAACAAAAATCCGGTCTCATTGTAACAAAAAACAATCTTGTTTTAACTCAACAAAGAATCACTATCATTTTTTTTTTTTTTTTTTTTTTTTTTTTTTTTGTAACAAAAACCAATCACCGTTCATTATAAATTTTAGCTTTTTCTTATTACAATTAACTTTTTCTTACTTAAATTAAAAAATACCAAAAACATTTAACTAACGTAAGTGACGTAATTTACAGACGAACCATTTTTACGCATTTAATATACAAAATTTACATATTAAAGTTTTAATATTAAATGGTGTATACATATCACTAGTTTTCTTTAAGCAAATTTATGATTTATTCATTATTAGCTTGTATTATTTGTAACGCACAATATTAAAGTTTACATCAACAGGTTTATTATAGTTGTTATATTTATATAAAATAAATATAACAACTATATAACAAAAATATTTTTCGTTAAATATCAATGACTCTAAATAAGATAAATCTGCATATCGTAAACTTAATGTAAAGTTATTCAGTGTTTCGCAAACATTTTCAGCCAAATATTTTCATATATTTAAATCTAATTACTTTGATAACTATATATATCGTAAAAGTATATATTAGAATCATGGAAAAAATAAACTGTGAATCCCATGTCTTTGCATCCCCTTTGGTTGCCGATGACATTACAAAGTAATTCACAGTAAAGAACAAGTTACTCCATAAGAGTCCAGTCGGGTGTTTATTTTTTGTTTTAAAAATATCATCTGACACCACTATGAACTTGTTTTGTTTAATTTCCGGAAGACTTATTCGGATTAGCTGTTAAATAAATCAACATTGTTTCCAACTATATTAATTACGTTGTAATTATGAAAGTTTATACTAGTATATATTACAACTAGACGCCGGTAACTCAAATAGCTGGACGACGAAAATAAATCACAATAGATTAGCTAATCAAATCAACAAGTTTCGTGCATACCAGTGGTTAACAGTGGTTTGATCCATTTTTTTACTGTTCACTCAATTATATAAACTTTATAAAATCATTAGCAAGAACATTGACAATATTCTCAAGGCCAATTTAAGTTAACGTCGTTCTATATACGTCGTTCCTATACGTTCTTCATTATATTATTATACAGCTATTCACGAAAACGAGGGTGTAATTTTAAGAAAAAATCTTTGGTTTTTCTTTAATAAAAATGTAACGGAAATAGATATCAAAATAATTTTTCCTCATTTTGTAACTAGGTTTTCTGATCAAAAACAAATAAAAAAAGTAGGTTTCGACTCTTAAGTGATCTCTTGGGAATTTGATTAATAAATAGATGTGAGAAATTAATTGGTGTCGTAAAAGTTTAAACAAGTTTATTAAAATTCAATTATTTTTTAAGTAATTAATTAACCCGTTGCGAAAATTGTTTTAAAACATAAACATAAGTAAAATGAGTGGTTTTCAGTCAATAAAAATCGTCACAACATTATTCAACAGCTTCATGTTCAACGAAAACCAACTGAAATCATTGCAAATTTCAAACAATTTCAAATTGCGTGCAAATGGGGCGAAAACCCGTTTCAAGTGAGATCAAATGGTAAATTATTGGTATGTCTAAGTCAAAAATTCACAGCAACGTTCAAATAGGCAAAAAACTTGGGGTTTCTGAATCTCGCGTACGAAAAACAGTCAAAACTTTGAAGCTTACCAAGGACGTTGTTGATATGCCGCGTTCCGGGAAACCTTCGAAGCTTAGCGACCGTGAAAAAAGTAGCATATTCAAAAGCTGCAGAGAGAATCCTAGGCACAGCTACAAAAAGCTAGCACAAATCTTCAACGAGTCGAAAAATAAACATAATGTAAGCAGAGAGCTCGTTAGGCGAACATTGCTGCAAAAAGGTATTGGAACGTACATTGCAGCAAGAAAACCTATTTTACCAATCATGGACCGACGTAAACGGCGAATATGGTCAAAAGAAAGATTAAGATGGACTGTTGAAGACTGTTTAAAAGTTATTTGGAGTGATGAAGCTAATTTTCAAGTTGTAAACCGCAAGGGAAGATTATATGTCAAAAGATTTGCAACGGAGAAATATTCAGAACGGTTTTTGCAACCACGTCGACAAGGCTGTGGAGGTTCCATCGTTATTTGGAGATGTTTTTCTCACAAAGGTATCGGTATGTGTGAGCTGTACGAAGGCCGAATAAATCAGTACACCTACAAAAATACATTGGAAACGTGTTTAATTTCATCAATTAGACAGTTGTATGGTAGAAGCAAGCAATTTATCTTTTAACAAGTCGGGGCTCCAGCTCATTCAGCTAAATCAATCAAAGAATATTTTTTGCAGAAAAAGATAAATGTGATCCCTTGGTGCCCTAGATCACCAGATCTCAACCAAATTGAAAATATTTGGTCTTGGATTGACAATCCACTTACTTATTACCAAATACAATCAACTGAGCACTTAAAGCAACTTTTGAATGAGTACTGGTTGAAGGTACCTCGAGAGATGCGCATGAAATTAGTTGAATCGATGCAGAAACGAGTTTACCTTTGCTATAAAAACAAAGGTAAACTCGTTTCTTGCTACTCATTTTTCACATGTTTATGTTTGTAATTAACTTTTTTAAAATTTATATAAATCATTTCATAACAAGTTCTCATTTATTCTAAACCAAATTACTTTTTATTTAACAAATAAAAAAAATTAAGTCGACATCATTTTATTTATTTTTTTATTAAGAAAAAAATAAACCTACTTGATCAAAATTACACTCTCGTTTAAACTTTCGTGAATAGCTGTATGAATAAAGTAGACATTATAAAATTACCTTTCTCCCGGTGGGAAGTCGGCTAGCGAATAGCTAGCTATAATCGTTACGATAAAGACAGCGATTTGGCCACGAGGATCGCTAGCTTTTTAAAGTTAGCAAAAAGCTATCAATATTTGTAAAGACAAAGACAGCGATTTGGCTACGAGGACAGCTAGCTTAATAAGCTAAAGATTCACAGGCTATTGTAGCTACCGTCATACCGTAATAAAATCGCTATCATAAAAATTTTGGTATGTAGCTATCAACCAGCTATAGATTTGTAGATATTTTGTAGCTAGCTACAAAATATCTACAAATAGCTACGATATCCCAGCAAACAAAAAGATATCTAAAATGCATCTAATATGCATCTAAAAACTGACCTAAAAGATGTCTAAATTCAGGTCTAGAACGGGACATAAATAGACGTCTATCTTATAGACGTCTTTTAGATGCATTTTATTCGACACAAATAATTGCCTTAGATGCATAAAAGATGTGAAATATACATCTTACAGATGCATATTAGATGTATAAAATACGTCTCTTAAATAGATGTCTAAGGCCCGTTTAAAAAAGATAGATAATAGATTATTTTTTAGCTAATAATAGCTCTTTTATGCATCTAATATACAGCTAATATACATCTTTAATTTCACATCTTTTATGCATCTAAGGCATTTATTTGTGTCGAATAAAATGCATCTAAAAGACATCTATAAGATAGACATCTATTTATGTCCCGTTCACGACGTGAATTTAGACGTCTTTTAGACCAGTTTTTAGATGCATATTAGATGCATTTTAGATCTCTTTTTGTTTGCTGGGACTTGTTTGATACAAAGGTGTTACAGCGGTTAAATTAGTCATAAAAAAGTATTAAATTAAATAAGTAAAGAAACATTTTAACTAACATTACTTAATTTTTATTTCACAAAAATATACATAAGAAACTATATTTCTGCATTGCCGTCAACATTTTCTTCCACGTCGCCGATATCTAAAATATATACATTAATGACATTTAAATGACTTTAAAAGACATGTAGAATTCTGAATCTATTTTTATGAAATATTATATATATATATATATATATATATATATATATATATATATATATATATATATATATATATATATATATATATATATATATATATATATATACATATATATATATATATATATATATACATATATATATATATATATATATATATATATATATATATATATATATATATATATATATATATATATATATATATATATATATATATATATATATATATATATATATATATACACACATACCGTATCGGACAAAACCAGTGCAACCAAATGATGCTAATTTAGTTTCTTTGTATAAAAGGGCTGCATTTTTTCAATTTAGAGAAATAACTATGTAACTGTTTAGAAACAACGTTCTTCAAATTTTATTCATCACAAAGTTCATTATTTGTACACGAAAATTAATAAATTAATCAAAAGAATTAAAAAAAGTTGATTTCCTTCTGCACAAATCAAGTGCAATTCCACAAAATGTTGACCAACCTGTATTTTGCTATCAATATTTTGTGGTGAATCCTTTGTTGTCGATCACAGCCTTGCATCTTTAAGGAATAGATTCGATCAAGTGATCAATGAAACTTTGTGGAATCGCTGCCTAGGCCTTTTGGATTTGTTCAAACAGTTGATCCTTATTACGGACACATTCATGATTAACTCTGCGGTTAACAATCTCCCACAGGTTCTCGATAGGGTTGAGATCCGGAGATTGAGGCGGCCAATCCATCACCAATAGATGGTTGTCTTGAAACCACTGCTTGACTACTTTTGCAGTGTGTTTGGGATCGTTGTCTTGCTGAAAAACCTATTTTATTGGTATATTAAAAAACTTCTGTGACGTTGACAAGGACCAGACTTGAGAAAATGAAATAAACCAAAAAAGTTGCACTTGTTTTGTATGCTGCAAAATGGCACTTGTCAACAAAATTCTGCCTGTGTGCTGTCACCTGTCAGCTGATTGCTCATATCATGGCATGCTATGACTCCAGACTCCTGAACTGTTTGCTGTGGTAGTATAGTTCGTTTCATTTTTAAGACATATAAAATTAGGAACACTTTTTAGCATTGTTCGATGTTGGTTGCAAACGTTTTGTCCAATACTGTATATACACATATATATATAAATATATATATATATATATATATATATATATATATATATATATATATATATATATATATATATACATGTGTATATATACATGTGTATATATATATATATATATATATATACACATGTGTATATATATATATAAACATGTGTATATATATATATAAACATGTGTATATATATATATATATATATATATATATATATATATATATATATATGTATATATATACATGTGTATATATATATATACATGTATATATATATATATATATATATATATATATATATATATATATATATATATATATATATATATATATATATATATATATATATATATATATATATATATATACAAGAAGATTTGTATCTCAACCAGATACAATAATAAACAACAATTTTTTTATGTAAAAACTAAAGGAACTTGTATAATGGATACAAAAATTCTAGCATGACACAAAAAAAGTCGAAGAATATCTTTATAATACAGATATCAGTTTTGTAAATACTATTAAAACTATACCTTGTAAAACACTTCATATATTTACTATATTTTCTAAGCTTATCTTTTCCCCATTTCCTTTTCGATTAAATTTGGACTGTAACTGATTCGAAAATAACCTGATAAATATTTTAACAATAAACTGAAATATATTTATAAAGATTTTTATTTTAATATATGTAATAAATTAAAATATATTTTAATATATGAATGCTTAAAATTATGAAAAGTAAAAACATTAAATTTGAAAATAAAATGCTAAACAAGGTTTAGCATTACACTTACTTTAGCACACAAACAAACTTAAACACCTACAGTGAAGCTCCCGAGTTTATCAAATTGTCATGTTAAAAGTAAATCCATAACAAATAACGGTCAAAATGAATTGCTTTTGGTCCCTTTTAATCATATTTCTAATAATTAATAAAAACATAATCATTTACCTTTTCATGATCAAAAAAACATGTTCTCTTGGCTTTCCACCACCCATCTTTTTCAAACTATCAAGCTGAAATAAATGTAATAAAAACTAGTGTAACTTAAATTTCTTTACAACATATTGAGTCTAACACAAGCTAGTTATTTTAGTTCATTTACAAATACTTTTCATTTAGATTCTAAACTAGTAAACCAAATTTAAACAAACTTATTAAAAATTAAGATAATTAGATTATACCAAATTAGTATACTCGGTTTTATCTTTTAGTTTATTATCCAGTGTAACCACTTCGTCCACTGATTCTAGCAACTTCACCCCAATAGCCTGAAACATATTTCTATAACTTCTTTTAAAAGAACTTTTATTTCTGCAAGCTCGTTGAGAATAACATTTTGCATCTCTACAAACAAGAATAAAAAGATTGATTAACATATTTAGCTCATAAAACCAAATAGCAAAACAATGAAATAAGAACTTTAAAATTCAAATTATGCTTGAGTAACTCAAACTAAAATTCCAAAAATACATGTAAGTTTTTTTTATTACTCCATCGCAGAAGTTGCCATAATATTTTGGAAAACCTACTTTTTAAATCAGCTAAAACTTTATCCTGTAAAAGGTTACGATATTAAAGAATTTTGTTTAACTACTAAAGGTAAAATGCTACACACATGATTTATTGGATCACAATATTATAAATAATCCATTCCTATTCTCTTATACCTATCTTTTTTTGTATTAAAATAATACAACTATTTTAATACAAAAACAAATTAATAAAAAAGACCTCCACATTAACATTCAGTGGTGTAAAAACCAAAAATACTCATATTAAAACTTGAAACTCTTTGACAATGTGAACTTTGTTTTGTTTTATTCTGTTCATCAATAAAATGTGAAGAAAAATTATCTTCTTCAATCTTTAAATCTGATAACAACTCTATTCAAAAGAAATAATTATAATTAGAACTATAAATAATCCCTCAACCATACCTGTTACTTAATTTAATCTTTCAACCAATTTTGTACTCTTTCAATTTCTGAATTTAAACAATTTCAGCATGCTTTCAATCAATTTTCAATTTTCATATCAAGTTGATTAAAGGATTATTTAATACAATAGAATGTTGTCAATCATTTAAATATATGTATTTAATTTAACAACGTTACAAATAACAGGACACCCAAATAGTTAAAATAAAAGGAAAATGTTAGTAATACATAAAAAAGACTAATAGCTAGATAGATAATATTTAGATCAAATTAAACAAGAATCTATTTCAGTTTATAAACCATTAAGAAAAAAATATGATATTTGTGTTATACTTTTAGCACTGGGCTTATTCATAATAAGTGGCGGAGGTTCTGGCAATGAAGAGCGGTATGATTTGTTATTCTTATTTTTAATGCTTTCTTTAACATATATTTCATCTGATGTAGAAAGTTGTATTCTTTACAACATGAAAATAAATCTAATTATAAAACATTTTGCTACAAAAAAGTAATTAAGTTACTTTTTTGTAGCAAAATGTTTTATAATTAGATTCATATAATTAAATTTATTGTCCCAAAAAAAAAAACTATAATCATGCACTGAAAAACAACAAAAGGTTGTTTTTCAGTGCATGATTATAGTTTTTTTTTTGGGACAATAAATTTGTTGCTATTCTTTGTCAATCCACTTGTTTAGTGCATAATTACTTGGTTAGAAAAACATGCAGAAAAACTTTCCTTTAAAGTTGGCTTATGCTTATACTCATTAGGCTTTTGGTCATAAGAGTATTCATTGTACAAAATCAATGACTCATAATGGTCAAAGTATTCTTTTAGATTTTCGCAAGATAAGAAATCATTTCTTTTAGAAGTTCCAACATTCGATTTTTTTTCTATATGTACTAATAAAAATTCTAGTATTTTTTAATATTCTTTTTGGACACGTCTACTGCGTCTCTTTTCATATGCCCTTTTTGTAAAAGACATAAAATGAATCTTGGTTCCTCGATAAAAACGATAAGTGCACAACCAATATATATATATATATATATATATATATATATATATATATATATATATATATATATATATATATATATATATCATATATATATATATATATATATATATATATATATATATATATATATATATACATATATATATCATATATATATATATCATATATATATCATATATATATATATATATATATATATA